TAGTATGAGTTAGGTATATATACCGGCACTTCGCGTTGTATTGTTAAACTCCCTGACGAAGTGAGCGTTAGCCACACGAAACGCGTAGGAGAAATAAAGAAGTTATACAACTACAGTTTGCAGAGTGCTGCTCACTAGTTAAGATTTTATTTATTTATTTTTTTGCTATTTCTTTCCTTCAGAGGCCCTCTTTGTGCTCAGATACGCAAGGCAATTTCGGGCAATTATGATGTTTCTGCCCGCAGTTGTTCGCTTATCCACGTTCAGTTTTATTGTCATGCAAATATGGCAAGTCAATTTTCATAATGTTTAATTTTATCATTTTTCTTTCCTGGTGAATTTTTAATCCTGTTCTAAGAAGACAATAAAATTGCTTACACAGTGTAAAAGTTAAAATTGTCTGATGGGCTGTAAGAAAATATATGTATATATCACAAAATGCGCAGAAATTCTATCGTGCACTAGTGTAAAGGATCACTTAATTTGACATATGGGCAAATTATGTTACTGTTTTCTTTTATTTCCTTTTAATTTCTATTTGTTTGTTTGCTAGTTTATTTGTTTTACTTTAGGGCGACTGCTGTACTTTTGGTGTAAGAATACACTATGTTTAAAATTTTCATCTAAAAGTGAAGTGTGAATTGTGAATACTGACCGTTTCGTTGGAAATTTGTCATGCCATATTAGCGTATAAGCATAAGCAACACTAATGCCCAGCGGCAGTAAGATATTTATGATTAGAACCTTTTGTTCTGATAATTTCATATCAAAAGGCGTTGCGTTTTCGTATGTTGCTTGATGCGCTGTGAAAACCAGCTTGTAGCCACATTTTCACGACCGATCCTTTTCGGCTCTTTGGTAGCGACGACATTTGCATTTCTTCTCTCCTGCGAAGTTTGTTTGATTAGGCTCGGAAAACATGGAATTTTTCTCAACGTTCGCCACTTTCCTCCGGCGCTGTGTGATTACTTAACTGCGGCAGAGGTACGTAGTGGTGAAGTCATATGATAGTCATACTTTTTCTCTGGGATACATTAACAACGTTTCAAAAATACGATTCGTTCCCAATTTACAAAAGTTTTGCCTCTTCAAAAGTTTGCTTCTCTATCTTGGAAGATGACAAAAGAACAGGAGGGGCAATGAGTTAGACGCTCGAAAGGAGATTTCTCCATCTTCCTATCCCAGATTTCACCAACCAACGATACACAACATTCACAAGTTGTTCAGTAGTGGGCCAAGTTCGATATATCAATATTCTAACATGGCTCGTAGGCTTTTGGGTCAAAATGACAAATCTTTTAAAGTTTCTTTTGTCTCTCAATTTCCAGAAGAGAAAACCAGAAGAGAATACAAAGAAATCACCACCAAATATAAAAGTTTTTCCTGAAGGCCTCGGAACCATGCTAGAATATTGATATATCCAATGTGGCCTATTCGCCGTCTTCTTAGAGGCGTGACTGCCATATTCAAGTCTTGAAACCAAATTTATGGCGATCTTTTCATCAGAATTTAATGCAAAGTGCTGCCTTACTCAGTTTTAGATCACTCGTCATAATCCGTTAGTTTCCAGAATGCACGTGCGTCATCGTCTGTACTGTTTGCTGGATCTGTGGCTCCTAGTGGGCAGTTGATAGTAAATTGTAGTTAGTGACAGTACTTTGCTTTTACAAGAGTTTTCAGGACTGCTCCGATGTGTTGCAGTCACACAACAATAGCGTAACATATGATTTTTGGCCCAAATATGTCACGTTTTAGTCCCGGTTAAAGCTTTTTTTAGCTCAAACCGCAAATGAGGGCGAGAAACAGAAATCGACGACAGTGAGCAACATAATTATAATGCAATATAATAATATGAAACATGTTTATGCTTGATGACCAATGCTGCAGCGTTTAATTCATAGCTACATATGGGGCAACAGATGAGTGCGTTTCTAAATCATTGTAGCACAAGCAAAACAAAATATAGGTTTCCGGCATTTTCGTCGCCTCATCTGCCATACTGAGGAAACAGATCCGCAGAGAGAGAGAACAAAAAACAAAAAAACTAAAAAACTAAAAACAAAACACAAAGACCAGCATAAAATAATTATGGGCTAAAAGAAAAGTTCCAGTCAATAAATTGAATGAAACATCCAATGATTGAAACACACGAATTCAACATATACAATATGTGCGCTAAGCTACCTCATTACTAATCCACTGCTATTTTTTTTCTCTTTATTCAATCGAAACGAAAGTTGTTGAAAAACAAAACAAACAGGCACAATTAGTGATATGTGCTAAATTATGTCTTATAAAGTTTTATCTCCCACAGCTTATCAGCTTTGCATTAATTTATTTCCTCTGGCATGTTCTAGAGTGTTTTAAATATATTTTTCAGGTTCAATTTGGAGTGTCATTTGCAGTTTTTCCATTTAAGTTTTCCCTTATTAACAGCAACTGGCCATAAAGTGGTTTTTGGTCGTCTCCTTTTGTAAATGCGTTGTGCTTGTATACATGTACGTACCAGATGTGGACTTGCTTATTATACAATAGTGTGAATACAGTCCAAACGAATAGCCTCTCTGCTGCATTCTACTGCATTCTATGATAGCCGAATTTTTTGGACGCTCAATCGAATTTATTTAGTCAGCACGAATTGCCCGTTTACCATTTAGTAGGTAAGACATAACTATTTAAATAAATTAAACCAAGCCATATCTATTATCTCCCTTGATCAGCTTTCATCCATTGCTTCACATGATTTGCATGCATCTGAAAAATACGAATGCTATTTTTTTTATTTTTCAGGCAAGCTGTTTCCAATGTCTGCTCTAAAAACCATGAGCTGCTTTCAAATCTTCGTCACTTCCTTTTGTTGCCTTGTGATTCTTTGTGACGCGGACAGAGGTAATAATAAGCATTAATGAGTCGAAGTCATTATTTAATTCAAACTTTTTTCAACTTCCTTTGTGGAATGCTTAAGCCCATGGGTCAGCTTACGGAATGTGATTATAGAAACGGTTCAGTAATATCTAGCACCAAGGAAAATCAACCCTGTCAGACCGGAGGGGCGGGAGAGTGACGGCGCTGATTTTAACCGTTGTCAAATTTGCCACTTTATCTGAAATCAAGAGATTAATCTTTAAACAATTGGGTGCGGCATGTTATTGTCCTCAGAACTTGATGTTTCCACCGCAACCATAATATGACAGGAATGCGATACCCAAATTGTTTCTATAAACAAAATACTTATAATGAAGTTAGTGTTCCACATTTCTTCGACTTAGGAGCACCGTGTCGCTGATTTTGATTATTTGAGTCATCTTTGGTGATTTTGTCGAGTTTTGGAAAAAGTCAAGATATCCAAATTGGGGCATCCAAGATGGGGGCTGTTTGGAGAACACGCCAAAATAACCATGTGATATGATGTCATCATCCAATGTTGCTTACGTCAAATTAATGAAATTGTTTTTAATGAAACGAGTGCTATCTAGTTTAATCATCGTTATTCTTGAGGCTGGGTACGGTAAGGGGGAAAATACATATACATCCCGCTCCGGGACTAGAGTTAAGGCAATCCTTGGACGTACATCCAAAGACATCTCCATGGCGATATAACGAAAGGGGAATTGATGAACTCTATTAGGTACTTGTAAGACATTGATGAGAAACTCTAGATAGCTCTTAACATTCTTTACAAGTTCAATATACTCTCGAATACGACATATCTTTGGATCTTACTATTTTTTCAAAAAATCTGAATATGCTGTAAATTTATACATAATTAATACTAACTGACACAAAAAGTATTTATTGTGCAAAACACTGACCACATTTTCCCTATTGTTTGCCCGAGGACTAAAGATAACATTGGCATCTACTCACGTACGCTGAAAAGTTGATAAAAGCTTAGAGACTGAAAACATGACAGGCTAATCTTTTGGCTAAAAAAAAATCGTTGTTAAGGTCCGGTAATACGGGCAACATTTTTCTTCATCTTGTCTCGCAACATTGTTGCATTGCAAGTGGAAACCCTCTGTTATGCGTTTTACCACTTCTGTGACCAAGTTGTCTCGCAGGATAATGTTGCAAGTCTGCGGAATTCTACATGACAATTGGTCAATCGCATGTAAACAAAGATGTCGCCTTCTTTCATGTAATTTAGCGTTTCGAAGAACTTCCATTTTGATCTCTGGCCGTCATTCTCTTCTTAATGTCCTTTGCCAACAAAGTTCTCTCAGTATGAATCTGTCGTTTCAGATAGCTAGGCGAAAGGTTGTATTTTTGCGACAGTTCTTCCAAGCCTTTTGCCTTTCGCTGCTTGTTTTGAAGGGACAAACGAGGTGTCCTAAAAATTATTATAACCCTCGAGGTCTGTATAAGGCAAATCTATGACTTTCCGAGAGTTTCTGGTCTACTTCGAATTCAGGCTCGTCTTCACCGTCCGCCATGTTTTTTATTTGCCGCGTTGCCGCGTTTCGCGACAGCCAGTCACAAGCGTTGAATTCAAATTTGTTGCGAGACAAGTTGTAGCTTCAGTGGTAATACGAGCAGCAAAACTAAAATTTTTGGCAGAAAGTAGAACTCGAGTCTACTTTGCGCAACATGTTGCCTCAACTTGGAACACTGTATTTTGCTGCGAGACAAGTTGGTAATAAACGTGGTAATACGCCTAACAATGTGTCTCAAGTTGCAATGCAACAATGTTACGAGACAAGTTGAAGAAAAATGTTGCCCGTATTACCGGACCTTTAGTGAATTGTTCACGATTTTTGTCAGCTTATAGCATCATGGAAAAAAAAAGGGACCAATCAGTTACAATTATCAGAAGCCTCACACCATCGACCGAATTTTGGCGACTCTGGGTAAAACTTAAGTTTAAACTGAGTTATCCAACTCTACCTTAATTCCTAGTCTACAGTTTTCCTCAGAGGGAGTTCATTGTTTGCTTATTATTTCTACTAAGGTTAGTCAGAAGTTAATTCATAAAGCATTATGATATTCTGATTATTTGATTTATGTTTGTATTTACAGATACCAACCCATACAGTGATGGAGCGCATATTGCCTTTCTGTTAGATGGGAGCGCAGCTGTTTCCTGGTTTGAGTACCGCATACAAAAAGAATTTGTGATGCGAGTTATGTTGGAGCTCGAAACTTACTCGACCCAGTTTAATGCTGCAGTGGTTGAATACAGTGACGAGGCCACGTTGTTGATTAACTTTACTCAGAGATTTGATTTACATCTCTTTTTGAATAGACTCATTACTTTGCCAGAAAACTCTGGTGGATGGCCGCAAAGAATAGATAAAGCTCTAACATTCACATCGAAATATGTTTTCACGAGCACAGGGCAGGACATTCCAAAGATTGCCTTTCTGTTTGCTTATAGTAAATATCTACCACCCGGCTTTCATAGAAAAGCCTCTGAATCACTGAGACAAAAAGGAGTCCGCATTTTTGTTGTCGAGATGAATAACATAAATCCAAGAGAGGAGCTGCGGAATATTACAGAGAGGGAGGATGATCTGATACGTGTGTCGGAGTTTTTTGATTATATGGACTTGGTAACTAAAGTTCTGTTGGCAATTGGTAAGTATTGAAATGCTAATATTTACGCAGTGCTGTTCTATTTATTTTAATTTTCACTCTTTCATTCGTTCGTTCTTTTCTTTATTCATTCATTGATTAAAAAAAGCGCTCGAGAGAGAGACAGACAGACAGACAGACAGACAGACAGACAGAGACAGAGAGAGGCAGAGAGACGGAGATCTTGACAATTATGTATTTATTTCCTAGATAATCCATCGGTACAATTAGCTCAAGATGTAAGCTTTCTGTTTGGTGGTAGAAAAGCCTCTTTGACGTGCATCGCATCGGGCTGGCCCCTTCCCACAGTCAAATGGTTCATAAGTGGTGAAGAGCTTACAAATGGTGATGTGAACCAGACTATTTCTCTAAGAGAAGAAAAAAACCAAAAGCAGCTCAATTTATCTCTTTATATTTCCGAAGCCAACATGAAACATGCCGGAAATTTTACCTGTGAAGCTAAAAACAAGTATCACACGAAAAGACGTCATATTCAAGTCTCACTTACCTGTAAGTAAGGTTACAGTATCTGTGACACAGCACTTTTACTTGAATTATACAATGTCATGTACTTGAATACATCAAGTAACAGTCACTAAGTGTTGCAACCAATAATCACTTCAGATATTTTATAGTGTATTATTTCTTTTGGGAGCGCCTACCTAATTGAACGCAAGAATATTGATATAGATGACGTCACGTATCAAGAAATGGTCTATTGTTCCGGCTCAACATCACACGTTCAGCAAAAATGAATAGCCTTTTGTTCTTGGTAACCCTGACGGACTTCGTCCGAAGCCAAACCAAAATCGTCGCCGTTGTTCGGAAAACTTTCGGCAGAACAATTAAGCTGCACTTGGGGGTGGGCAGCGTAATTTTTTC